AGTGTAGGTGCCATCAAGTTGGGGATGTTTCTTATTAATTGAGTTATTAAAGAAACATTAATAAAGTTTAAACTAATTAAATCAGTTAGTAAAAGAAATGTGATATACCAAAACAATTCCCTAACAGTTCGGTTTTTGGGTAAAATTGAGGTTTGACTACAATTTTGTATGGAAAATAGCAATTATGATGCTTTGGAGGGTAGTTTTAAAATGATCTGTGATTTTTGGGTTATTTATGGAAATAACAATTTGAGATATTATGATAGTTTTCTGAAGGGTCTTGCCTTGAACAAACACAAATTATGTGTGGATTTCCGATTTGTTGACCTTTTCTTCAGCCTGAAAGGTGGAGGAACTTAGTCTGCATGTGTTTATTTCCCACGATATGTTCTTGCCACTAGAATAAACACTAGTACACAAATCATTGGTATGGGTTTTCTTAATTCATCAGTAATCTTCAGTCTGGAAGTTACAGTGGTTTAAGACGTGTGCTTCTTTCCCATGACATAAAATTGTGAACATCTACCCTTACACGTATGCATATGTTTGTATGCGTGCGTGCATTGAATGCCTATAACATAAGAAAATTAACAAGTGAACAGCCAATAACATAAATTTGATTTGAAAACTGACTTGCATGTGTCTAACACAAAAAGATTTACATTTCATCCTGAAAACTGATGTTTCAATCTATATATACTTTATCCTGTTAAACATAGCATTGCATCTTTCCTTATAGTTATGATTCATTAAAAATGTTAAATTAGTGTATTGGAATCTATTCAAACAACCATAATTGTGTTGTGGTTCTGTAATGCATTAAGCTTTTCTTTTATGTTTCAATTTAATCTGCCTGGTTTTAATAAAATATCTGTATTTATTTGCAGAAACCCATGATCATTCCCTCCTTTTGACCAATTATGATTTCATTTACTTACTTTTTGAGTAACTTACTTTTTGAGATGAAGAAAACTAGAAAAGCAAATCTGGTTTGATGATTTTTTCATTTTAATGCCTCTATATAAATCTAGCTCAACTTCAAACTCCACCTTTTGGTTATTTATTTCTTCTTATATTGCTATTTATTGTTGTTTCTTTTTTAGCGATTATCATTCATGAGTATCTTGGAATTAACTTTGTATGTGGTCTTATCTTTTCGTGTGCAGGCTTTACATAGGGAACCATCCTTAAGAAATTGGTTGCTCTGGAGGTACAGGAAATTTTGTAAATCTTTCAGTTCTGAAGATATTTCAGAGATCACATCTTTTCTGGAGAAAATATTTGGATCTCTATCTGATGCAGTTAAGGAAGCTGGCTTGGAGGACAACAATGGGGATAATCTTGGTTCATCGAAATATATTGGGGTTACATATGAAGACTACAATCGTCCTTCCCAGCACAGTGACAATGCTGAGGCATCTGATGGTGAGCAATCCTTGGGGGTGCATAATGTTGCTGCTGCTGGAACTGGTGCAGGTCAAAATTTGAAACCTCACAAAACATGGCTTTCCAACAAGGGTGATTCCCAATCACATATTGGAGGTTTAGCTCATGAGGGAGAAAGTTCAACGTCCATGTCGAATTTGGAGACTGGGAACTCTGCAGATTTGTGTCCCAACGAGTTGTCTCCAAAGGGCATGACAAACAGACAATTTATTCCTTCAGTCATTAGGAGGCAAGCAGATTTCAAAAATGACGACTCTGACACAAGAATTCATGCCATTGAGGTGGAGAAGGTTCACAATTCAAATATTGACCGTGGATTGCCAGCAAAGGTATCTGCTTCTGGAGGTTCCCCTAATGTTTTCCCATCACCTAGGCAGCATCTATTTTCACAGCATCAAATTTCATATAGTCATAATTTTTGGTGCTGTGATGGGGATCCTTCAGCTATGGATGTTTTCACGGCTTCTAAGCAACTTTGGGTAGGTTCTCTTGGTCGTGATGCCTCTGAAACTCTAGTTCAATTGCAATTTGAGGATTTTGGTCCGCTGATGCAGTTCATCTCTGTTCCTGTTAAAGGTTTTGCTTTGATTGAGTACAGAAATATAATGGATGCTGTGAAGGCACGTGAATATATGCATGGTTCTGCGCCATGGGGTGGTAGCCTTAGAATTAAATTTGTAGACAGAGGAGTAGGTAGTCGAGGAATTTCTGACCATGTTGCTGTTGGTGATAGCTGTCATGTTTACGTCGGTAAGGTGTCAACCCAATGGGAAAAAGACCAGATATTGCATGAATTGATGATGGCAGGAATCAGGAAACCACACATCACTGATCTTGTAAGCGAATCTGCCCTGCTCTTGGAATTTAGGAGTGCTGAAGAAGCAGCTAGTGCTGTGGCACACATTAGGTATCTTCGCAGGGGGACTTGGCATCACACTTGTCCTGATAGAGTAGATAATTCTGGAGCTGCCAACCATATGGTATTCTCACCACCTGCTGTCTCCATACACAACAGCTCCACTAGCAGTTCCATGGCCCAAAACACGAATGCTTCCGGGTATTTTCCATCTCGTGAAATTATTTATCCTGCTGGTATGGATATTAAGCCACCAAACCCCTATTCCAGTTCTTTTACGTATAAACCTGAGGGCAGCACTCATGAACTTGTATCCCCAAGATTAAAGATGGAAAAGCATGCGACTCAAGCGCACAGTGGACATCAATTTCAGTCAAACTGGGCCATGACCAGTAGAACAGAAATGCTGGAAGTTGGATCAGGAAAAGTCAATGATTCTGGAAGGAACACTACAATGGACCATTCATTTGCAGGTAAAAATTATACTGATGAAAGCTTTTTTTTTATTCCAACCATAATGATGCTCTTAAAGTCCGTGCCACTATACTGAAACTCCAAAGTTGTGGTAAGAGTTGAGGAATATACATTTATAGTCTAACACGCCCCCACTGGTTGAGGGGTCTCTTATGGGCCGAAACATGGAGCGGTATCTTTTGTTTCCTAAATCTACTGTAGAAGTTCTTGGCCAACAAGATTCGAAATTGGGTTGCTCCGATGCCATCTTAAAGTCTCTTCCATTACACCAAAACTCCAAAGTTGTGATGAGGGTTGATGAATATAATTTTATACTTAACACATGCCTATTGGTTTTTGTGATTGTTATCAGGTCCTGTGAACCCTCATGCTGCAGAGCTAGTTTGGCAATACAACAAGCAAGAGGTCGAGCCACAAATGTCAACACAAGTAATTCAGCCAAGCCCTCCAACTATTGGGCCTAGTGGTTCCATGATGCCACCACCAATCCAATCCACTTCATTTGTTCGTCCTGTATACTTCAATCCAACCAATTCCTGGGAAACTTCTGTGCACAATCCTTCTATTTCTAATCAAATTTCTTCAGGCATGATACACACTGATAATCATCACTTTAATTCACGTCCAGCTGTTCCATTTATACCTTCTTCTGTAACTCCAGTTTCACAGCTGCATGGATGTTCCATGCAACAGACTGACCAAATGGTTACAGTTCCATGTTTGTCAAGTCTAATGCCACCTCCACCTGATGTACCACCTCCTTTGCCTTCTTCTCCACCTCCATTGCCACCTCCTCAGCCTCCCTCTGTTCCACCTCCTCCCAGCTCTCCTCCACAATCTGTCCCTGAACCGTCTACTTTGCATCTTGGAGAGCCCCGTGTGCACCAGTGGCAAGGTGCTCTTACTAAAAGTGGTGTTCATTATTGTGCAATTTATGCTACTCGAGAAGACTCTGCTATTTGTAGATATTCAAATGCCGCCTCTGAACCTGCAAAGTAAGAACTTATCATCACAAAAAAAAATACCATTTCACTCATATATGTGCTCCTGACGACTTTTTCATAATACTTTCAGCTGGCCTGCTAGCTTAGATGTTACAAAACGTACAGACATCCGTCATGTGAAGACAACTTTTTCTAGCACTCGGCCTCATAGAGTGAGTACTTACATCTCGATCTACTTTTTTTTCCAGGATATTGTTTCTATCATCTTAGTTCAGC